AGGAGAGAGAGAGAGAGAGAGAGAGAGAGAGAGAGAGAGAGAGAGAGAGCAAAATAGAGAGCGAGAGAGAGAGAGAGAGAGACCTAGAAAAACAGAGAGAGAGAAAGAGAGAGAGCGATAAAGACAGAGTGAGGGAGAGATGTCATTGCCAACGATTATCGTGAATAGATTAGAACTCTATGGGTGTCAAGTTTTCTCTATACACATAGATATAATCACCCCTTAACACATCCGACTTAAAATGGTAGCAATCCGCGAGATTTTGATTCATATAACAGTGTTCATGTGTTAATTTACTTAAACTACTCCTTAAAAAAAGAATGACTGTAAGATCTACAGCATAGGTTTTTATTTAGTGACAGAAACCTACAAATCGTATACGTATTTTTACATTTACTATGACAATTATGCAGAAATTACCTGAAAAGGATATCATAACGGATACTGACTGTAGCTAAACGTAATCTCAAAATCGAGAGCATAGATTTTTACCAATCTCCAACAAACTCAGAAATCACATTCCACTGTTTGTCATTATGATAGAGTGTTACAGACAGACGTGAGAGGAAACGTCAATTCCGCGCACGAATCTACCTATTCACACTCGACGCTTCTGTGTATAGAGGGTTCCGCGATTTTTCATATTACTCACAATGCAACGCCGCCGGCCATGACGATTACAGAAACCAGCTCAAGCATGGTACAAGTACATTGAGCAACGCACTGTTCTCTGCTTATTTTATTCGCCTATTAAGCAAATCCATCACAACGCCGCTCTCCTGCGGTGTTGTCAACTGCAGCAATCGGTATCAGAGAGAGCCACACGGCTTTTTTAGGCTGCCTAGCGTGATCACAACACAAGGTAAAGGGACGAGAGACAATGCGGACCACAGATGCTTGGAGCATTTTCAATAAAAAAGAAATGCTGAATAAACACGAAATGTATTTACTACCAATGTCTTAATGTTTCTCTACCTTCTTTCGTTTAGTATTGCCAATAATTACCTGTAAATGCCGGTCAAATGCTCCTCTGCAACACACAGGTACACCGCACGCATGGCGCACGCCGCTACACATTTACACCTATATACATATATCGCCGGCATCCAGTAGGCAGCTGTTTGAGTGGGGTGGTGATTTCTCTTGCACGTACAGCATACTCTACATAAAATAGCACCGAGGCAACATGTGAACAGAATTCACCAAGCCCGGCTTTACAATTACAGTGTGCTGACATGATGCCTGTCCCATTTATCTCATTGTAATCCATGCACGGATAGAGAGATGGTATAATCAGAGACTGGGAGTGCATAACACGTCCTCGGATAACGTTGATGGGACTCTCACTGTTTACCGATATACACCACTAACCCAACCGCAGAACAGTCGATCGTAGGCGTCCAGGCTTTTGTGGTTCTGAAAGTCCTTGAGAGTATAAAATGGACTCGGCTAGAATGTTAGGTAGTCAATTCACGAGATCCTAATAAGTACGTGATTGGCGCAAGTTGTGGTCCTCGCTCTATTCTCGTACGGGTGTCGATTACCAATGCACGCAATTTTCTCGAGATAGCGTGCTTTGGCTACGTTGTCTAGTGAATCAAAGTACTTGTCCATACTACGTACACTACAGACAGTCGACAAACGTGCATACACTAGCTATTATAAAAAGCTGCGTTTGATAGCTAGAGTAGATGCAGTAAAATCGGTGAAATTTCTGAACTCTCACGATGTAAACAAACTCAAGTCTATGAACATAATATGTGTTGCGTGCAATCTTCCGATCTGCTCAATCTGCGAATCTGCCGACTGTGTGGCAGCCTCATTGAACTGTAGCACCTAAAACCCACGCTGATAAACCTGTCTGGTAAATCGGGATCCTTTTACTTCTAATATTTTTATTGCAATAATAACACTATAGCCAATGTAAAATCGGTTGATTGTGCAGAGCGGCACTTTACACGCGACACGTGTTCGCTCTTTTTGTAACCGGTATGGCCGGCGGAACGGGATTGTAGGTAATATTGCTAATTTTAGACCAAGTCGCGGAACCCTCTATAGACATGCTGCGTAATTCGAACCGCGCATACAAGGATTATCGCTGTATCACCATCGAAGCATATATAAGCAATATCGAAGCATTATAGGCACTGCTGCAGACGGGCTTCATATTGTTGAAGAGGTCGCCTAATTACTGGCGTTCTGGATGAGCGGTCATTCCACTGATACTCACACCTTCACTTTTGATTTTACGATCTTTTTTATTTTGATTCTCTTCCCATATCTTTTATTTTCCGCCTGTAAGCCGGATAACGTGTTCGATTGAATCTGTAGGACAAACAACGTAGATATTTAAGTCTCTGAAACAGCTAAGCATGCACGAAATAAATTTTTCACGAATATAGCCGTTCTGCATACGGAAAGGCTGCGGAAATTTCCTGCACGTAGCTGTAAACGGCTATAAATCAAAAGACATAGACACGCCTTATCTAGTTTATGTGTACATCTATCATACATTGGTCATACTACTGGTCATCGCACTTCAAAAGTTTAATTTCTGCGTTTTCTGCGCATTATGAATGCGAGCAAACCCGTGCAGCATAGCAGATTTTACAATGCACTGATTCATCCATGACACCAAGAGCGTATAAAGAAGCGTATAAAAAGCGTATAAAGAACACCTTCTTTATACGCTCTTGATGACACGCAGCAATCGCGTATACGCGCAGCAGCAGTGAAGCGACTTTGTACCAGTATATATAGCTAACACCGGCAGTATCGCCGAACAACAATGGAAAAATAGAACGGATGCCTTTTATATTATATTGCGCTTATGGCTCGCGAGTAATGGCGAGAATACGTCGATATGCTGCTTCTTACGCCGTGGCTTGTGCGTGGTTAACGACTTTCTCAAAGCGCATACACACGCAAAGCATCGCTGGTAGGCTGGTAGCGTTCGGCGAGCGCAGCAGTAGAGCAGCGGACTCGCGGGGCGCAAGCGTACGACCCGCCATCTAACACAACCGTCTAACCGGTGACTCGATTATCTTCGTAAAACGATCGAAATATTTCTGGCCAAATCACAACAATTCCACGATCATCAGACTTTAAAACCCGATAAAATCCTGTTTTATAGGTATGAATACGCGAGGGACTTACATTATTCACAACGGTGGCGCAAAATCGTCAAACTAGCGCATCCTATTTAGACGTAAAACACGAATGTGAAATAAACTAACAAAACGAAAATAACCTAACAACAACTGTGTGTTCGCCAAAGGATTGAAGGAATGTCTCTACTCAACATAAATTGTACGATCGTGTGCATGCACGTAATTTGGTGTGTGTGTGTGTGTGTGTGTGTGTGTGTGTGTTGTGCTTCTAAAATATCAGGAGGCTTCTAAAGTTGATATAAAAATATAGATTTTTCATAATATTCAACACTAATCGCGTCGCAGTGACAAGGTGTTAGTGAGGTAACATCTTTTCTGGCAGTGAAAAACGACCATCCCCCAACTCCCAAAATTAATCTTGCGAAACTCAACATGGTATGCACTTATAGCGTTAAATAATTATAAACATTACAAGATATCAATTCAGACTGGCTGCAATTTTCAGTGGCACTGTTTAGACATTTCTATCTCACCGTGGAACGAATGGCTAGTTAGCTTCGTTCTTAAGTGCGTCGAGGTTGAAGAGTTAAAATATTTACTGCAAAATAGAATTTTTAGGGCCGGTGCCGGTGGGGAGGCGGTTGGGGGGGACCACAAGCTAACAATTCTCTTGATATGCTACTCGCGGTGGTTTAATATGTGATGAAGCCAATCAAACCCCCGCTTGAGGTTTAATCTGGCTGCTAAAGCGGGGATATAAGTTTCCTTGCGAATACACGAAGGTTTTTCGTATTTTCTCTGCCGCTCGTCTGTGCACTGATTCTCCGAACTTTGATTTTCACTGCGTGGGTTTTACGAGTGATTATTTTCTAATGTAAAAAAAACGTCATGCGATGGTGCAGTTATTTCAGTCAGAATTACGTGGTTTGCTGTTGTATTGGACGCAGAGGAACCATACGTCATATTAGTAGCAGATAAAGAAGCAGCAGCAGCAGTAGTGGTAGTTGTAGTGTATTATTATTATTATTATTATTATTATTATTATTATAGCAGAAATAGTGGTGGTTGTGGCAGCAGCGACAATTGGCTGCGGTTGTACTAGCAGTATAGTAGTAGTGGAAGTAGAAGTGGTCGCAACATTAATTATTGTTTATGTAGAGGCGAAACAGAATCACGCACGCATTGTCATGCGTCCGGGGAGTAAGCTTCACGCGTCCTAGCTTGCGCGAGGCCTTTTAACACGTGCACAGAGAACCCTGTATAACATCTACTATGCATTTTATATTTTCTTGTATATTCCCGCGTTGCGTTCAATTGTTCGCGGGTGTACTTCTTCCATCTTTTTCCTGCCATCGCCAAGCTTCAGTTTAGCCGGTGTTGTTTGCTGATTGCGTAAAGATTGTTAACATAATTATCGAACTCAAATGTGAAATAACCCTGTTCTCCCTGTACTCGGTTAATCGAATTGTTGTGTTCCGGAGTCGTGTTTTTCAGCTATACATGCTGTCGTAAACGCATATATACATTACAGCGTTGCTCGTAGGTGGCAACTACTGAGGCGGATTTTAGGGGAGCCATTCCGAAGGGAGACAGTCTGACTTTGTCCCCATTCATAGCTAGCTCCGTATAGCCTGCTATAAATCGCCATATTCAGCATGCTGCTTTGATGTCGACGGGCAAAAGGGGGATGCGTCACGTGCAGCCAATCTCACGTTCCTTTGTAATGAACCCCGTCTGTCCCATGCCCTATGCCATGCCCCTGCCATCTCCTTGTATCGTCAGCAGCAGCAGCAGCAGCAGCAGCAGCAGAGGATGGTGGCCCTGCCATGGTGGAATCGTAATGGTGCCGTGACAAGGCAATCTAACCATACTCACATCTAGCGACGGTGACTCTGACTCTCTGTTCTAAAGTGGGCCTTTTTATATAATTTTTGCCGAACCACGTGATTTAAGTAAGTCACGCGTTTGGCCCACATAACATGGATCGCTTTCACAACTTTCGATAGGAGGGGGGGGCGAGAGTGATCACTGTCCTATAGTGCCTAATGAAGCGGGTGACTGATTAGTCGCCCGAGGCAAGTCCCTGTCACCGAATCTGCCGGTGTAAATTATTATAAATAAGTATCTATCTATGGCTGAATTAGCTTCATTACACCTTATTGTCGCAAACATTAGTCACCGGACTCGCTCGTTGGAAAGGTCACCGGAAATTGTTGCATAGAATTTATTGAATTGTCGCCGGTTGGCTCGGAATCTGTAGAAGACAAACCTTCACGGCGTGGCTAGCTTTACATACAGCACGAATGTCAATAGTCAGACGTGACGTAACTTGGTGCAACTGGATATATATAAAAAAAACTGGATAAAAGGTGGGAAATCGCGCGTGTTATGCGCTTGACGTCGCCGGCCCCTACGCTAGGTGCACGACGCTAATGTCATCCGTCTCGTACGATCGTCTTCCGCCGCGACAACCGGAATTACTGGCAAGAGACATTTTAGCCACGCGCGCGTGTCCGGTACTTATGCCGTATGTTAGCGTTACTGGTACAGCGAGGCGCGCTCCGTGGCTGATGACAATCTTGTTAATGCCTTTTCGACATTATCGTGTATCTGGGAGGGCAGTGGCTCACGCACGCCATGCAGTGACACATGCGTCGGTGAAGATTTACAGCAGTGAGCAATTAACGCACGCAATATGTATTGACAATAAAATCTAAAGAGAAATTTCGGAAGTTCTGAATTTGCTTAGCCTTTCGCTTCCGGTATGATCTACGTACCTTATCTTAGCGAGCGATGACATATATATATATATATATATATATATATGTGTGTGTGTGTGTGTGTGTGTGTGTGTGTGTGTGTGTGTGTGTGTGTGTGTGTGTGTGTGTGTGTGTGTGTGTGTGTGTGCGTGTGTGTGTGTTAGAGGGACCACCACCACCGCCGCCATCACCGCCACTACAGTCACCGCCACTACCCCCACTACCGTCACCGCCACTACCCCGACTACAGTCACCGCCACTACCCCCACTACAGTCACCGCCACTACCCCCACTACCGTCACCGCCACTACTCCCACTACAGTCACCGCCACTACCCCCACTACCGTCACCGCCACTACCCCCACTACAGTCACCGCCACTACCCCCACTACCGTCACCGCCACTACCCCCACTACCATCACCGCCACTACCCCCACTACCGTCACCGCCACTACC